TATATAAATTTATCAACAAGCGACGGAGAAAACTGAATGACCGCCGAAAGACTGACCGATCTATTGGACGACCAATGAATCAGAGTTAAGAAATTACTCCGCAATCGGAGTGTCTGCGCACTCCAATTTCGGAATTTTTGCGAACGCAAAATTTTTAATCAACCCTACGATTTTGGAGGTATTACGAATTTAATAAGCGGAACCTCCAAAATCGGAGATTTGAAACTTTTAATCAACCATCCGATTTCGCGCACTATTAATTAAACGAGCTCTCTCTAGGCCTATAGCGAGAGCAAAACTTTTAATCAACCCTCAAAGATTTCGGAACTTTTGGTATTCTACGTGAAAACTCCAAAATCGGAATTTCAACACTTTTAATCAGTTTTGATTAAACAAGCTGAGATAGTAAAACTTTTAATCAACCCTCCGATCGCAGGGATTGCCTGTTATACGTGAACCCTCCAAAATCGGAGTTTTGAGACTTTTAGTCAACCCTTCGATTTCGGTTTTCGCGTACTAATACGGATTACCATTCAGTGGACGGTTGTTGACTCTTATTAGTCTGACTATATAAGAATAATACATTAGGGTACATTATTTCGTTAATACATTAAAATTACTGTACTATTATTTTATGAAAAGAGAAGCAATATATTGTAATATTACATTATAATATACTGTACATTGAAACATTAAATAATTACGCTAATTACCGTCAATAACCGTCAACATAGGCCCTACTAATGTTTTGAAACTCTGGCTTTGGAGTTTTCATGTATAAGTACCGTACGGCACGCAAAAACTCCAAAATCGGAGGTTGTTGTTTAAAAAGTTTTGCTCTCTTCTCAGGCCTATTTAGAGAGAGAGAGAGAGAGAGAGAGGGAGGGAGAGAGAGAGAGAGAGAGTTTGTTTAATTAATAATAATAGTAAGCAAAAACTCCAAAGTTTGAGGATTTATTAAAAGTTTTTAATTCCGATTTTTGGAGTTTCGCGTAAAATATAAGCAAAACCTCCGAAATCGGAGGGTTGAAAAAAAGTCTTGCCCTCTCTATATCATAGAGAGCTTGCGTAATTAAAAACTCCAAAGTTGGAGGAGTAAGCAAAAACTCCGAAAGGGGGTAAAATCTAAATTTTAAATTAAATTTTGCTCTCTCTTTATATAGAGAGAGTTTGTTTAATAAATAGTACTCAAAAACTCAAAAACTCCCAAAGTTGGAGGATTGATTTTGAAACTCCGATTTGAGTCACGCGTAGAACACGCGAAACCTCCAAAATTGGAGGGTTGATTAAAAGTTTGCTCTCTCTATATAGAGATTACACTTCGTCGGAAAAGCCTACTGATTGGTTTGTTCTATCGCCCGCCTAATGTAGCTATCGAGGTCCTCCGTCGTTTCACCGCCTCCACAAAATCTGCGAGGTTACTCTATAAAAACAGGGACATTCTTATTTAAGATTTCAACCTACCTGAAATCCAATGTAGAAATCCTCCTTTTGCGCCTTCAAATTCGATGGGTGAAAACTTAATTGACGTTTTTCTGAACAGCTTTGGGCTTTTGCAGTGTAACAAATTTCCAACACGTTTAGATAAAATTTTAGATTTGGTTATTAGAATAAAAGCATAACTGATAATGTTAACATTGGAGATGACATATTTGAGTCTGATCACTCGTCGATAAGAATTTATTATCATTTGTTGAATATGAAATGCAATAACAATTTTAATAATTTTAATGACAGAATATTTTACAATTTTTAAAATATAAAAATGGATAAATTGTGCAATACAATATTATATACCATGAAATTTAATACATTTTGAACAGAATATTAATGATCCTCTTGACCTTTTCTTTATGATCTTTTAATTGCTGCTATTAAGGACGTTGTTCCTAAAGTTAGAAAAAGAAGGAAATTACCTCAATGGTTTGACAAAGAGCTACAGGGTACGTAATGTATTATATGAGAAGGAAAGGTGTCATATATGAAGAAAAACAATAATCGTCTGACAAAATGTAATTTTAGTTTGCTCGACTTTCGTTTAAGAGCTTATGTAGAAGAAAATATATTTACCTTAAATCACTGGCAGAATTTATCACACTAAAAAGAAAACCTATTTTATTTACAGTTGAATAATCAGGAATTAGATTGTGTTACTTTTTAAAAGGATCTAGGTGTTTTAATTGATAAGTTAAATTTTTGTTTACATGTTAATTATGTTGTGTCGAAAGCGAATAAGGTGCTAGGTGTGATGTGGAGGAATTGTAGACTCATGAACAATGTTTGGGTATTACTATCACTTTACCATTCAATCGTGCGCCACCACCTGGAATATTGTTCAGTTTCTTTCACACAGGCTCAGCGTATTTCTAGTGTTCAGAATAAGGTTAATATGTTTCTTATAGTCAAACTTGTCTCAATTATAATGTCTCTCTTGTTTCTCTTGAAATGGTAGAATTTTAGACATGGTATTTTTATATAAGTCTTTGAATTCTGTTTATGATTGTCCTCTTGTTTTTTCGTTTAATTTAAATGTTCCGACTCGTACTGGACCCCACGTTCCATACGGTCGTTTTGATTGCACAAAACTGGGTATTTTATTAGCGATTACCTAACGATTTAATAGTCTACTTGTTACTTGTAATATCGATCACTTTTATGATAGTTTAAATGTTTTTAAAAGTAAAATTGTTAAATCTACGTAGTATTTTTTTCAATTTTTAACATGGTTTAAATTATCACATATATTACGTTTTGATTCAACCTGTTAATGGTGGTTTTTATCGCTGTTAGTTTCGAACTGAATAAAATAAAATAAAAAAATAAAAATCCATTTTATTTATCTATTTGTGATTTTCTGTCCTTTTATATTTTTAATAAAATATATTCACCGCAGCGGCACTCCTTTTAACTGCATCATACCTTTGGTTTTGATTTCCTCTCATCGGAAGTCGTCAAGCACACCTTAGCCTGGGCTTTACGATGAACTTCTGACTGGTGAACCAGTATGAGATTATTCAATAATTATTCACTATTTGAATTGCTGGCTTCGTTTAGTATCATATGCTCTTAGTCTAGGTCGCAAAACAAATTTTAATAAAATAGATAATATTTCATTCGTTCATGGCATATCGAACAGAACATTTTAGAGTACACAGTACCATGGAGTTCAACCGTAGTTTGGTACTCGACACACGTTTAACAGTGATCAATATTATGCCCTCATCTTAAGGCTTTATGACAGGAACTATAAAAATATATATTAATGTAGATTAAATTTATATAATCTATATGTATATAGGCCTATATATATATGAATATATATAGGCATATATATATATATATATATATATATATATATATATAGTATGTGTGTGTAATATAGACCTATATATATATATATATATATATATATATATATATATATATATATATTGTGCTTTCTCAGAATATA